ACTTCAGATCATTTACGCATTTCACTTTCAGCACTGGCTTCATATGAGACTTCAACTACTTCCAGCCCTTACTTGAATTCAGTACTTGTGTGTTTACTAACACTAACTTCAGCTCATATCAGTACTTTCTCCTGTGTTAATGAAACTTTCTTTCAGTATTTTCTTCTATTGATTCTTAAATACCAATTTAATTAAAATCATTTGATTAGTTGTTTAGGTTATCACCCATCTCTTTGCTGTGATTTTGAAATGTATTCCATGGTCTGTACCTTAACATCAGTGTTGGCTGAGCTTGCACAAGACACATAATAGATGCTTTTAAGTCTGCTTTGCTTGCTGGCTTGTTAGCAGCGTCTTGTCATTAAGGAACCATAGTTTGTATATTCCAGCATGCTGCACAGACTTTGACCTTTTTCTGCCACTATAAAATCCCATAGACGTTTCTCAGATGCTCTTCCATGAAAATTAATTAAACAGAAACAAACCACTGATATGCTAATAATCACAGAAAATTTGTCAGAGCTTTTCCTTGCAATTCTGCATCAGAAACTAGAGCAGCTACTGTTCTTTCCCTCCCTCACTCTTATTAGTGCCCCTCTAAATAAACCTGCAGTGAAATTATGAATGGGAAATAATTGTGTTGAGTGCTATTCCAAATAGCAAAGTGATTCATGATCTCAATTACCATGCTTAAGCTGTTAATGTCGCTGAATTGCAGTATGTAATTACATAAGACATGAAGTAAACAAAGAAAAAAAAATTGGTGTAAGAACATGTGGCTTTTTCCTCCTCTAACATTGCTTTAATGATTGCAAGGAGACATCACTCAGTTCTTAAATGACTGCCTGCAGCTGATTTGAAGACCAAGCAGGGATTCATGCAAATTAATGAAATTTTAAGTGGCACATGATGCAATTTATGGATCTAACAAGATCAGATCAAGCAAGATATCATGACCCAAATTCTGTCCATTATTAAAAACTGCAACATCCCTCTCTCTGCCACTGCTAGCCTATTTATGTCATCCAGTTTCCATGGCTACCATGCCATAGATAAAACATAAAGCACACACAGTTTTCCAATGCAACCTCAACTTTCCCTTCCAGTGAGGAGAGGGATGACATTACTCCGCTGCATTCAGTACTGCGCTTCAACAAAGACAATTCAGGATTGCGTATTACATCATCATATATATGAATAAGAGAACATAATTTGCATTCTGATTTGGTTTAGGTTTGAGAAGGCAGAACAAAAACATACACTACACTTGAATTGCAACAATAAAACTAAAATATTATACAAGTATTACTGAACCTCAACCTGCGTGCAAGCATTTAACAAATCAAAATGTGACCTAGAGCACTTTTGCAGATATCTTACATTAACATGTTTTCTCTATAGTTGTGTTTGTACAACTATGGAATCTTCTGTGCAAAAACTTGGGAATTGTGCTAGGATATTGGAAAATGTGAGAGCTTAAACAAGCCTATTCTGAAAGAACACATTTTATAATTGTGTGGTCACAGTTAAACAGATGTAGAAACTACTGAGCTAAGGTTGGGTGTCAAACCTTACAAAGGACCTAGAACAGCTTTTTGGTAACAAAATGTTGATGTCAGCTGAAGCAAAGTCCTTTCAAGTGCAATGAAATTAAATGTACCGGCACTAGAATCAAAATCAATCACGTGCCAGGTGCCCTATTACTTTAATATTGTTTTTTTTAGTTTGATGACATATATTGCTATGTTTTTGCACTTAACTTTACCAAAATTGGTTTGTGACCAGAGTTCAGGTTTGGTATCAGTTGTGTTACTAAAGAATATACAAACTATTTTCCAGCTACATGCTGTTTTATTTTTTAAATTTAAGTCCTAACCAGTTGCAGACATGAAGGTTTCCTTGTGAAAATAAAACATCATAATTACAAAATACAATTCAGCCAACGACACACAAGCCCTGTGGACAGAAGCCTTCCTTCCTTGTTTGCACACACAAATAAACCATCAAACTGGATTTCCTACAGCTGGCCAAACCTTACATGGCCTTCTGAGACAAAAGAGAGCTGGACAAAGCTGGCAACAACCTTCTGTCTTCCTTGTGTTTACCAGTTCAGTGAGGAGTAGCTTACGCTTACACACACACACACACACACACACACACACACACACACACACACACACACACACACACACACAGAATACCTGGCAAGAGAAGGAAGATGACATCACTTCTCTACGATAAAGTGAGTCATTGTTCCCTATTTAGCTTCCAACTTCAAACACAAGCAGCACCCTCACAAATGCCCCTCCACCAAAAAAAACCCCTTTGTCAGAATTTGGAGCTGAAATCTAGACCAGCAGCCAGGGGGGTGGTTGGAGGGGGGGG